CAATTGCAAAGTTTGCTTCTTTTCTTTTCTTTTCTTTTCTTTTCTTTTCTTTTCTTTTCTTTTCTTTTCTGTCAGTTAGCCAGAATATTTTCCCCTCAAAGTTTCTTCTTCTATTTGTAAAGACCCCAAAAGGGAGAGATGGGGGTGCCCCCCTCAATACTGTGTCCACCAAAGGCCTAATTTCAGATGTCTACACTACCACCCTAGTTTGACCTAGGGTGGTAGTTTAGACATACCCTGACACACCAATTTTGGTTCAATGATTTACGGTCCCACTTATCTCTTATTTACTAGACATGATTTTAACAATCCTTGAGTTTTATCAGTAAGTCTTTTTGTTTGGACTAACCCTGGTTTTTTGTCTTTCTTGTGCACCTTTTTCTCATCAGCATTTACTAGTACAGGTTATTGTGAGACTTACCTTGGATGTGAGCAAGAACTGAAACGCAGAGAGCATGAACAGGAAGAGGAATTGACTGTTATTTCTAGCAAGTAGCATGAACAAGCATAGGCAAGGGAAACGGGTGTGAGAGGTTCTGCAGCACCCCCAGGTTTTTCACTCAGCAGATCATCTCTATGCCTGGAGGCCAGCCCACTGCTGATCTACTGCCTGCTTTGCTGGCCCCTGCCCTCAGCCCTCCTCTGTGGGTGGCGAGGGGCTAGGGTTTCTGACCCTCCTGGATCATATGGACTGGACACCATTGCCACGAATGGCATCTAGCCGGTCCTGTTCCATTTCATGCCAGATAGTGAAAACTGGACCTAATTAAAAGCACTAAATTTGGGATTAAAGAATTGTCAGTCACAGTTTTTTAAATATATCCTGAAGTTTGTCCAAGATTTATTTGCAAAAGCTTTGTAAAAAGGGCAAGTCAGCTGTCCTGCTAAATACAACAATAAATATAACGAAATACGTGATGCACTTCTTCTCTGTTTTATATTTTTTAAACAGTATTTCTAAGGTGATATTATATTTATAATGTACTCTTAAGCCTTTGCAACGTAATCATTTCAGATTACTAAATATTTAACGCCATAAAACAAAGCCATTATTTGAAATTAATCATTCATAGGGGTATAGTATGTTCATAATAATGTGCATTGCTTTTAGAAAAAGGAAAACTAATTTATTTTGTGTGATATCTGTAACAATAGAAACTCATTGGTCCAGCTGTCTGGAAGAAAATGGAATACAGGAGGAATGGACAGGAAGACTTTGGAAGCAACTTTTTTGTGCTATAGTAATTAAAATGTGTATTTTAGATAGGGGTGGCCTTTTGAAGAATTTATTTAAAAGCTATATGTCTGAAGAGTCAAGCATTTAAAGCTAAAGATGAATACTCCAATTGCGCACCTAAAATTCTATGCAAAGATTGTTTAGAGATGTGATGTTATAATCATCAGCCACAAAATAATGAAGTGTTTAAAGTAAATTTTAAAATAAGGCCCTGTAGACTAACAGGTTCTGAGTGAATATTACAGTAATGCCCAAGTATTTTTGTCAATAAATTCAGAAACTGATAGTATATGTGTCCAGATTGGCAAATACTTGTTAAATGGCTTAATTACCACTTAATGACTCTTTTAACAATATCAGTGTTATGCTAATAGGTCTGGCAGACTGGAAGGCTTTTTACTTTTAGTTACTAGATGTGCTCTGGAGGAAGACTCACCAGGCTGCCATAGCCTGCCTTGGGAGCCTGAAAGAAGAGTTAGCATAGGAATAGGAAAAGCTTAGAGGGTGGGCACTAAGACCCAAGGAACGCAACGCCTCCCGTTTCCTCTTATATCTGCCACCCATGTCCTGGACCTCTGTCATTCTGATCCTGATAGATGGCCTGACCAGACAGAGCCAAGAGAATAGCATCCAGATAATATTGCTACCTTCTCCAGCCCCTACTAAATCCTGATTACCACTGGGATGTAAAATTTTGTTATAAACTTGTCCACTCCACTGTGTGCCGTTTTCCTTCCCTACTTTATTTCTTCTCTGTCTTATCCCTCTCCTTTTTCCTCTAGTCTATTAAGAGTCTGGCTGAGCCAGCCAAATGTGTGTATTTTGCAACACTGCTGCAAACCTGTGACCAAGAAGGCTGGAAACCGGACGCAGGTCCCCGAACAACCTCATATTGGCCTAAGTTTGTGCAAGTCCAGAACGTCTAATAAAACCATGCGCTGCCCCTATGTAAGGCTGTATGTAAGGATCCACACCAAAGAGAGAAGCTGCATTTTCTACCTTTGCTGCTTGTTTCTTTCCCCTGTTGTGCGCTTTTCAGTTAGGAAACAGGGTTGGATTCTAACAACAACAGCAACAATGGCTCCCATTATTTCAATATATTTCTCTTACTCTGAGAGGAGTGTGCGTCTTTAATACCATCTAAGAATCTGAAATGGCAGTGTGAAGAGGGCTCATTCTAAAATCTCTCTCCAGCTAAAAGGAGAAGGGAACCAAGGATGTTGTTAAAATGAAAGCCTTCCATAATGATTTACACTTCAAATGTGTGAATTGTTTTTCCTTACTTTTCCTGTATCTGTAAAAAAGGGTGACAACGGGTTTTTTTACTGGTGTGTTTGCTATGGTATCAAGTAGGCTGAGGTCTCTGTAAAACCAAATCTGAACCGCATCATGTCTGGACAGTGAGAAGGTCAGGTTAACACCTTTGACTTTTGGACCCTTTTATTCCATCTGAATTAATACAATAAGGCTGTGTCTACACTGGCAAGTTTTTCCGGAAAATCATCTGATTTTCCAGAAAAACTTGCCAGCTGTCTACACTGGCCGCTTGAATTTCCAGAAAAGCACTGACGATCTAATGTAAAATCATCAGTGCTTTTCCAGAAAAACTATGCTGCTCCCGTTCGGGCAAAAGTCTTTTTCCAAAAGACTTTTGCCCGAAAGGGCCAGTGTAGACAGCATAGTTCTGTTTTCCACAAAAAAGCCCCGATCGCGAAAATGGCGATCGGGGCTTTTTTGCGGAAAAGCGCGTCTAGATTGGCCATGGACACTTTTCCGCAAAAAGTGCTTTTCTGGAAAAGCGTCCTGCCAATCTAGACGCGCTTTTCCGAAAATGCTTTTAACGGAAAACTTTTCCATTAGAAGCATTTCAGGAAAATCATGCCAGTGTAGACATAGCCTAAGTGTAAACAATACCTGAGATGCTAGTTTTCTTTTAACTTTGGGGGCTATTTCATTGCTAATGAAACAACCCGTTTCTACTCAGGTGAAAATCACAATTCAAATAAATCTTAAAAAGGGGATTTTCTAGGATGATGCAAGTCAGTAACACTTGGGAGTGAAAGTGAGGAGACTTGACTCAGTTGATGACTTAGGTGTAGCTACTCATTGAGATGAAGGCTTGTCTGCCTAGGCAGTTAGTCTGGTCTAGCGGTAACCGCTTAACTATGCTGATTAACTCAATGTGTGGATAACAAAATGGCTTAAATGAATTTGGAATACGGCATTCTTATTCTAAAACAACACATGGAGTAAAACAGGAATAATTATTCCACTTTAAATTCACAAGCTATCTCATTCCGGATTAATGTTTGTGTTGACAAAGACTTTAGAGTTTGACAGTTGAGACTGAAGATAGCCAAGAATAAGCCCTGAAAATTTATGAAAACAGAAAAACTGGAAACCATAATCCCATGTTACACTGAAGTGCTTTGAGTATAAATATGTATTCTACAGACAGTGTTTAGTATTGTGAAGTCTTGTATATGATCCCAAAGGCAGGGAGCTAAACTTAATGGAAATCAGTGGAACAGAGGGGAGGAGTGAATTGTCTAATAATAGTCTCAAACTCTGTCTTTGTTCTGCAGGCTTTAAATAGTTATAGTCAAGGAGACATAGAAGGATCAAGAAGACTGGGCCGCAATGCACTCTGGGTTGCTGTTGCATCAATCATCATCGGCCTTCTGATTATTGGGATCTACTGCGTAGTACACTTCACAACGGTAAGCAAAGCTTAGTCATTTCCAATACAAGTCGTTCCTCCTTGAACAGGAGTTCCATTATAAGAGATTGACGACTATGACTGATTGACACTCTTCACAATTTTCATGTTCTAATTCATGGGTTCACTCTCATCAACTAAAAGAGAATTTTTTTGTTATTTAGAATTAAAGGAGGTGATGCTGTCTCATGGTTAAAACAGAGAACTGGGTGTTAGGCATACTGGGTTCGCCTCTAACCTTACTTACTGGATGTGTCTATACTGCACCCCTAGCTCGAAATGAACTATGCAATTTGAGCTATGCAAATTGTGTAGCTTATTTCAAATCAATTTTGAAATAGCTTATTTTGAAATTTGGTACTGTCTACATAGCACTTATTTAGAAATAAATTGCTCTTCTGAAACGTCCCTTACTCATTGTGGAATAAGGTTTACAGGGACATTGAAATAGCAAGCCCATTATACTATGAAATAATGGACATGCGCAAAAGTCACAGAATAGCTATTTTGGGATCCCTCTGGGATCCCTAAGAAAGTCACTTATTACCCATGCCTCAGTTTCCCTTCCTGTAAAATGAAAGGCATTCGCTCCTCAGATGCAAAATTCTAGTGTGTAAAAAAAAAAAGAAAAAAAAACACCACATACAACTCTTAGGATCAGAAAAGAGATACTGCGTCTCCTGTAACATCTGTCAGACAGGAGTAGAGATGTGATTACTGAACCATTTTTTTTGTATTAATTAACAATAATCATGCCCAAAAGCAACCACCTGATTTTCATTGCCTTGTAGCCCTAATGTCATTCTAAAGTGATTTTCCCAGGCAGAGGAAAGTTTACAATGAGAACAGGCCAGAAATAATTAGTACAACAATATATTCTCTTCAGGCTGGGCAATAATTTGTTCTTTTTCTGTTTAGCAATGTGCATTCCTCCCAGTTAAATCTGTTTATTCTTAGCTACCCTCTACAGAGCCCCTTCCTTCCCCAAAGCATCCCAAGTGTTTTACAAGCCTGTTTACAACCTGTAAAGTGAGAGCACCTCTTTCACTACTGAAGCATGGCCATCTATGGGGAGTGGAATGCAGTGGCCATTTAACAGTGCACAACCACTTGAGACAGAAAAATGACTGACGCGAGAAGTTAAGGAAACAGATTGCCGTTACATAAGAGACTGGGGGCAGCACACCTCTGTGTATGAAAAGTGCTAGGGGGACAGGGGCGTAACGATGTAGCTCACTGGAAGAGAGAACTCCAGCAGCTCAGTGCTTTTAGCAAGATACTGAGAAATTGACTCTTGTACTGAGTCAAAACAAAGAGTTTCCTTAGAGATCACCTGTCCAAACAATCTCCCCATCTGGCCTTGCTTGTCTTGAAATCTGATTAGGTTCACAGATTAAGGCAGTATGGTTCATTGGGTTCCCTCTTCTCCCTATCTGCCCGGCCTCTCCATTTCTTCCCCTCCCCTTGCTCATCATCGAGGAATCTTTTGACTGAGGCAATAGCTCTTCTCCTTTGGCTACGTCTAGACTGGCATGATTTTCCGCAAATGCTTTTAACGGAAAAGTTTTCCATTAAAAGCATTTTCGGAACAGAGTGTCTAGATTGGCACGGATGCTTTTCCGCAAAAGCACTTTTTGCGGAAAAGCATCCGTGCCAATCTAGACGCGCTGTTGCGCAAAAAAGCCCCGATCGCCATTTTCGCGATCGGGGCTTTTTTGCGCAACAGCGCGTCTAGATTGGCACGGATGCTTTTCCGCAAAAGCACTTTTTGCGGAAAAGCATCCGTGCCAATCTAGACGCGCTGTTGCGCAAAAAAGCCCCGATCGCCATTTTCGCGATCGGGGCTTTTTTGCGCAACAGCGCGTCTAGATTGGCACGGATGCTTTTCCGCAAAAGCACTTGCTTTTGCAGAAAAACTTGCCAGTCTAGACACAGACCTTCTTGTATAATGAGAATGTGCAAACAGAAACCACCAACCTGACCTTTTGCAATAGCCACTTCTTTTTCACTTCCCAACCTTCATTTCCTAATCTGGTAACCTCTAATCTCTCTTCAGGAGAAGTCTTTCCATGCATCTACTCATCCTTGTTGCCTTTCTTTGAACCATTTCTATTTAACACTAGCCACTTTTCAAGATGAGGGTGCCCACAGTATTTCAGCAGACAGTGTAACCATGATGTACATAATAGCATTATAATAATCTCCCTATTATCTGTCTCACTCTTAATCCCTCCAGCCACCTGCAGCCTGGTTCTCATTTACAACTCATCACAGAAAAGGACCAGTGTGGGGAAAATAGCTTTTATGCTGACTTTAAGGCCCCTTTGTACTGGAGCAAAGTAGCCTGGTGTTTGCTTTATTTGTTGGCTTCTGCTATGGATGTATTCACTGAGCTGTGCACTAGGATGTGTATTGTTTTTCTGACAGGTCACAGTTAATATGGCAGCATGTACAAGTAGCTGCACTTGTACTTTCTAGTGTGCATTAACTTGTGTATAGCAGTACTGGATACCACTTGTTGTCATGTTGTCTCCTTGTCAGCAAACTATTCAGTTCTTCACTCTTTGTGAGATGTGACTAGCCTGAATAAGAACATAAGAAGGCCATACTGGGTCAGACCAAAGGTCCATCTAGCCCAGTATCCTGTCTGCCGACAGTGGCCAATACCAGATGCCCCAGAGGGAGGGATCACAACAGGTAATCCTCATGTGATCCCTCTCCTGTCTCCAGAAACAGAGGCTAGGGATACCATTCCTACCCATCCTGGCTAACAGCCATTGATGGACCTAACCTCCATGAATCTATCTAGCTCTTTTTTGAAGCCTGTTAAAGTTCTAGCCTTCACCACATCTTCTGGCAAGGAGTTCCACAGGTTGACTGTGCGCTGAGTGAAGAAAAACTTCCTTTTATTTGTTTTAAACCTGCTGCCTATTAATTTCATTTGGTGACCCCTAGTTCTTTTATTGTGGGAATAAGTAAATAACCGAATGATTTTGGTTAACAGTAAATTTTGCCCCTTATGGTTAATCTCCTTTCTAGATATTTAATAACAAGTATCATTATGTATCCATTGGGCTGCCCTATGACTAACCTCCTGCAAAATTCCTCCTCTTGGTTTATTGTCTTGTAGCCAATTTCTAACCACTGACAGCACTTCTCATGATGACTTGGCTTCCTGAAGAGCTTGTGAAGGATTTCACTTGGGCATTAATAAAACTTGGGTAAACTATACCTAACCCACTATTTTGCTCCTAAAAAGCATTTGAACAGATTAGAGAGCAGTAACTTTTCCTTACAGAAGCCAGGCTGATATGTATGTTTGGCTCAGTGTTTTATAATTAATTATTTCTTCATCCAACTTACCTGTTCTTGGCCTAACTGATCTGTAATACTCAGGATCACTCCTACCACCTTTTTAAGAGTACTACCATATTTGCTACTCTCTGGTCCATTTGCCAATTTAACAAGTCTCTGGTTTTGGTCGTGGTCCAGCCCCTTCATGCTTAAGTCCTTTCAAAATGCCTTGGATTAAAACCATCTGGAGATTTGCACTTTATGACAGGAATTTTCAAAGGTCCCTAACTCCCTTTTGTATTCCACCCATCTCCATTAGGCCTCTTCATAATCCCTGCCACAGTTATCGATTTGGTTCAACATCTTCTCTTCCTCTCCCTCGCCCACAGTCCCTCGACATAAACATGTGCCCAGGCCCACAGGAGAGGAAGCAAGCCCCTTGGCCAATGGTTGGATCAGAGTTATAGGAAGGCTCCAATGTTGTACACTACCAGGCCATCCTCAGCTGGCCTAAAAATTCAGGCTGGAAAATCCTAATAATGGAAAATTGGAGGTAATGATGGTAGCAATGGTAGAGGGGGAAGTGAGGAAAATTCCATTCCAGTACAAAACAATGACAAGTATTGAACTTCCAATTAACTACAGGACATAGAATCCTAGAATTCTAGAAGTGGAAGGGACCTTGAGAGATCATCGAGTCCAGTCCCCTACCCTCATGGCAGGACCAAGCACCAGCTAAATACTCACTGACAGGTGTCTATCTAACCTGCTCTTAAATACCTCCAGTGATGGAGATTGTACAACCTCCCTGGGCAATTTATTCCAGTGTTTCACCACCCTGACAGTTGGGATGTTTTTCCTCATGTCCAACCTAAACCTCCCTTGCTGCAGTTTAAGCCCATTGCCTCTTGTCCTACCATCAGAAGCCAAGGAGAACAGTTTTTCTCCCTCCTCTTTGTAACACCCTTTTAGGTACTTGAAAACTGCTATCATGTCCCCTCTCAGTCTTCTCCTTTCCAAACTAAACAAGCCCAATTCTTTCAGTCTTCCCTCATCCATCATGTTCTCTAGACCTTTCACCATTCTTGTTGCTCTTCTCTGGACCTTCTCCAATTTCTCCACATCCTTCTTGAAATGCGGTGCCCACAACTGGACACAATACTCCAACTTAGGCCTAACCAGCGCAGAGTAGAGCGGAAGAATGACTTCTCGTGTCTCGCTCACAACACTCCTATTAATGCATCCCAGAATCATGTTGGCTTTTTTTTGCAACAGCATCACACTGTTGACTTATATTTAGCTTGTGGTTCACTATGGCCCCTAGATCCCTTTCTGCCGTACTCCTTCCTAGACAGTCGCTTCCCATTCTGTATGTGTGAGACGGATTGTGCCTTCCTAAGCAGAGTACTTTTGCATTTGTCCTTATTAAACTTCATCCTGTTTGCCTCAAACCATTTCTCCGGGCGTGGACCCCACTGATCACTCCTCCCTACATCTCACTTCCTGTAGCCACAATCCCTGCCCTCACTAGTCTGACACTTGGCAGGCTCTGGTTCAAACCCCAGCTCTGCCAGAGTTCCACTGGGACCTGCATCTCTCTGAGCTGAAGTTCTCTGACTCCTGGGACAACAGCCCAGCCTGGCTGCAGAGGAGACAGGGGAGGAGTACTCCGTCAAGACAGTTAGGTGACCACATAATAAGCTCAAG